AGTCTTCTGCTTTTTATTTCGAGCATAGAGAGTTACATAGAACAAGTGAAACGTCGGATGAGAGTCACATACCGTGTGGCCGGGGTAAGTCGGTTTTTTATAGTGGTCTTGAATTTCCATCGAGTCGAGAACCGAAGAAGATTTTCTGTTCCCCGTTCATGAGGAATCAGATATGTAAGTGTATGTGTAAGTTGCTTATTGTACGGTTCCTCAGTCCCCGCTAGTGAATCTGTACTTTTGAAGGCACAGGTTACGATAAAATCGATTTCTATAAGTTCCTTCTAGGATGAACATGGGCCACCAACAATAGCACGTGGGACATTGTCGTTTCGAAAAATGAAATCGAGAGAGCGTTGTATGGACTACAAAACCTGCTTGATCGACGTGCACACCCAAAAGTGGCCGTGTTATGACGAACATTAACAATGAAACCAAACCGAGGAATAGTATGCTGATTTGGGGGACACCCGGACGGCTACAGATACACAATCTCGTAAAACCAACCCCGTTTTTAGCACTTTTGTGAAGCCCCATATTGCCTGAAATCCACCGGTTTTTGCTATATCTGCGCAATATACGCGCTATTCTGCACTACGACGTCCATTATTTCACCTGAGCTGCCTTTAAGCAGGAAGACATTTATTGTTAATAAGTGACTAATGTCTCTTTTCGGAGTCAAACAATCACATCTTGCAGGAAGAAATATTTTGAATCTTCCAGGGTTTGGGAACTACGCTGACTTGCAAAGAATTCGATTTCAGTTATTGATTCACCATCAAAAAATATAGGCATATTTGGACGACAATGATGTGCACATTCGTACGATGGCCACACTTGGTCCTACTCATATTTAGGAATGAAAGAAGAAAAATACTGGTAGAATCATTGGGTGAATGAGAGACACTTGATGTTCTCCTTTATTTATGTTTTATTCGCAGATGATCAGAAATAATGGTTCGATTCGGCAGTTCTCCAAACGCCCTGGACTGTCTCGGGACGGAAAGTGTTGTTCTCTTCCCAAATGATACACATAGGAACAAAGTTATTCTGAGTTTACTCAGATTACTATTCAGACTTGTTGAGATTACTGTTCCGCAAAATACAAAAAGTTTATTTTTTGTGGGCCCTCAAATGGAGGATTTGTTAGACCCATGACAGGGACGACATTGCAAGGGTGGGTTTGACAAAGAGCCAGCGCTTTCAACTTTGTGGAGGTAACACAATGCTTACCCTCGAAACAAAAGGAAAGTATACATAGATAATTTGCAGTCTAAGGCTTTGATATTAATCTGCCTAATTTGTGATGGTGCCTCGCACTAGACTTCCTTTCAGAATCGTAGTAGCAATTTGTACAAGTCAGAGGTTTCCAAGTTCTCTCTCAGACAAGTCTAGTAGCTCTTAATCGAACCCGAACGGGGTGAGAGTCTGGTTGGTCTGAGCGAGTGTCGGTCCAAGATTCGAACCCTCTGCCAATCTTGCTCTATTTGCCGCTACACACTTCCGTACAAGAATAATATAACATAAAGAAGTAATATGAAAAAAATACGAAACCTGATGCAACAGTGCAAGTATTGGAATTGGCTTAGAAAATCTCTCAAGTCTGAATTTGCTTGCATACATATACAGTGAGTGATTTTCTACCAAAACATGAAAGTATACAGTATAGTGAATATCGAATGGAGTTGTTCCCGAGAAATGGTGCAATTAAAAATGAATAAGTAAGTAATATGTTCAGATCATAACCGCCATGATACATTTCAATGAAGAGAATCGCTCGAGAAACCGGTTGTTATGATTGCGGACAAGACAAGTCTTTCAAGGACTTCAAATTGTGCACGTGGGAATTCGAAAAGAATTTTCCTGAATGCAGAAGTGGTCCGCACAAAACAACGGGAAAGCAAACATTCAAAGATTACATGAATAAAAAATGTTCACGTGGGAATTATTCTGCAATTAGCGTCAGTGTTCGGTGTTCTGAAAATTGGGGTCTTAGTTTATTAGGGGCTCCAAGTTCCAATCCTCAGCAATATGGACGAGTCCGTTCCGATGGCACTATCAATAGGTGCTGATCATCTTCGGAATATAAGAAATCACGACCATTACGAACACTACCGAACGTTCAAAAATATGGAAATTAGCCGTTTATCTGTCGTCGCACTAAAAACTTAAGTGAAAACGTACCAAAATCATCTAGCCGGTCACGAGCGATACTCAACCGTACAGTCAAAAAGAGCAAACATTTTTGGAAGATATATACTCTCGTGTCCATCACCGCCTATGAATTCCATAAAAATATCTTCAAACTTTAGAGAGGAGATCTTACTCAAGAGAAGCAATAGAACCAATCAACAAGGGCTGGATTAGAGTGCTGAAGGATTGGTGACAGTGAGTAATAACATGATCCCTGATCCGACTGACAATGAGTGCAGTTCTGGAACTCCTCCATATGTAGGTAAAGGTCGAGCAGATCTCGAGATCGACACCGGCAGTGACATAGAGCGAATATCTATTTCAATCCGAACTCAAATGCTAAAGCCCATAGAACCCCTCTATTTCGGAAACCGTGTCTAGTCACGGTGTTTTGCATCATGTAGGAAAGTTCGGAAAGGCACTAAAGTAGAATACCACGAATCACGATACCTGTATTAATAATGGCACCTCAACCTTTCCAAAACAAATATTCGTTGGAAAAAAGGACGAGTTCTCAATCAACAGATGATAGGACACCCGTCGAAATAATTCTTATGGCCCGGTTTTCTGACAGGCATTTTGGTTCCACTCTTTCGTGTTCTGTAGTACTGTCGGTTTCTGGCCTCTACCGCTACTCCCTACTTCTTGCTCAACCATCAGATGTTGTACTACCATCTCATAAAGGGGCTGCTAAGGTGGGTACTATGGGAATGGCTAAAATAGTAATTGGGGGCTACAGTCATGGCAACATTTCTTTGGACAGACACGGCAACAACGACAGAATCCCGATTCTGAAAGAATGAGCTTCTTCTCAGGATCACTATTCCAATAAGTAATATACAAGGAAGCGACTGTCGAGTTGGCAAGTCGAGAGAAAAGCGAAGTTAGTAATCTCTAGAACGAAATCACACACACACGATTCTATATCAACTTCAATAACGTAGGAGGCAAAGAAAAATTCACTGAAAAGTGTTACTTGATTTTTGTGGAAAAGTCTGCATTTGGCTGACTAATCAATGATCTGACCGCGATGGATATGGACCGGTGGCGTAGATGACAACGGAAGATAAGCCTCGAACGCAGTGAGGACAACAAAAACTGGCACAGATACACAATTCCTCACTTGGCCCAGACCAGATTCGAATAATAACGGAATGGATACTATCTCCCTGCCGATTCTTTTTGATATTGACGGTCTGCAGGCATTAACATATAAAATTGAACTTTCTATCACCCGAATCGCTCACAATAAGTGCTTCTTAACAAACAGCTCAATGAAAAACACTTGAAATCACAGTCATTGAAGAACTTTCCAAATTGTTTACTTTCAAACAGAGTTGCACTGTATGAAAGTTACTTGACATACACAATCATCCGAGTGTCATAAGATCCTGTTCTGCTTGTCAAATGTGCGATATACGGATTCGACAGGTCTCGGTTGAAGTAGTTTGAAGCTAATGGTAACGAATGGCTGACGGTCACTTACTACAACGACTTAAGCAAGATCGAATAGAACTACGGCTCAGAGGTTTTTATAATTAAATAGAGGCCAAATATTGGTGATCGAGCAGTACTTATGAATGTCATGTCCATCAGGAATAAAAGGAAGCAGAGTGCTGACCTCGCCCATCATGTCCCTCTTGAGTAATCGCTTTGTTGAAGGACCAGATGCAAAATGAATAGACAACACTTATCTTTGTGTGAAACACTCTGATCAACCGGGTGTTAATCGTAGACCGATCGCGAATTCTGTGATTTTATAAATAATCTCTGACCCCATAAATAATGCATATCCATTGATCGCGTTGGTGGCCAAAGTTTTTAGGTTCAAACTATGCATTCCAAATGAAGAGTAAGTAAGATTATGAAACGTTATATAAAGAGTACATGTAGTAAGACTAGGCCTAGTTCCAGTACGGCTTTCTAAACCTCAGCATAACTGTTGTATTACTTAGTTGTTTTCTTGGATTCTTCACGAGGTTTGTATAGAAGCTTCTTTAGGCTGACCTTTCGTTGGAATCGCCTTCTTCAAAGCCTGGAAGGATCGTAACAATCCGTGAGTAACCGATCAAACTTTTCCCTGCTTATCCACTGAAGTTCAAGACCCGCAGGCCATGCAGACCGGAACGTCAATCTACGAAAGCTCATGAACAAGCCTCGTGAAAAGTTCAAGTGAACAAACCTTCCCAACCAAGCAGAGAAACGTTTGGCCGTCATTGCATTGAATCAGGTAACAATTAGGACTTTGGAAAACATTAAAACTATTTCCTTCTGTCACACAGTTTTCGATGCGAGCTGCCATAAGAGTGCGAGATTCTGGTGGGCAAAAAATAGGATAATTGGAAAACGTTTGTCAACACAACGAAATATCGCTTTCATCTCCTTGAATGGCATATAAGATTCCATGCCCAACTGGAATCTAAGCGGATATCAGGAATATCGTTTCAGTGTTGTAATCATAGTTGCTTGGTAGTGTTGTGTAGTAAGTGCATGGTCACACAATAGGAATCTGCATATGGGCATGGAATATTTGGTGATGAGTCATCATATGACATCAAGATACATACCAAACATGGAATTGGTAAGCGCTTATGGAAGGTACATATGATAGGATCACACCCTGCTTTCGACTTGAAGTTCAGATTCGAAAGGATCGTGCCGACTAAGAAACGAAAGTTCCTCGTCAACAAAAAGGAAAAACATACAGAGATACCATTTGAAGAAGCAGTTGATTGCTAGTAAGAAAGTATAAAGAAGCAAGGATGAAGAATATGGACGTAAGAATTGAACAAGACTTCGAAATATTTCTTTCAGTCGAGGAATCCAGCAGCGATCAGTAGCATCGCCGACTTGTGTACGTAAGAGATTACGGAACCGCAGAAGCATGAGGTGTTCCGATTGAGGTGCGTACGATCGATAGGATCAATAGCTGACGGATTAGAGATCTCCGTCCTTGGGAGGTAGGACGAGAATCGCTTTGGGATGGCGGCACCGCCATAATCGATATAATCGTTGTTCGAACATAAAATCATCCTCGCTGATCGTACAATACCGGCACAACAATCGGCTTTTTTGAGAAAATGACGTACGAGCGGAAGTGTGAGTTCACGAGCATTTCTATGGCCCTCGACATTGGGGCTGAGTTTGAGTATAAATGATTAGTGTATATTGCTGAGTGGTTGCTTGAAGACCTACACAAACTGCTAATGAACCGAGATTTGTAGAACTCTGATGAGGAATCCAACAGCGATGTATAGTGAAATTCGGTGGATATTCGCCACTCTCTGTTCGAACGTCTTCCAGTGGAAATCTAATGGCTGGAGATTTTTAGGCTGCTTAAGATCTTCTTGAAATTGACACTTCAAAAACCATCTCGAAAATGTGTTGTACAGGCGTAGAGTCAAATTATGACGGTAAAAAGGAGACTTCGTTGTAATTATTGGTCCTTCTACACGTGAATACCGTCACCGTTCCCTGTTACGTTGGTCAGCTGCAGAACCTGCGGAATGCGTTCGAGAAAAAAACGGCCTAGACAGACTTTGGTGCACCTCCTCCATGACAACGCTAGACCTCATATAGGTATAGAGACCCGCGCAAAATTGGAGGGGCAGGGTGTGGCACAGCTCCAACCCCCTATATCCCTGATACTGCTCTGTTAGATTACCACTTGTTCCGTCATCTCAAGGCTTTTCCAACAAAAGCAACAACTACAATACTGCTACCAATTCGTGGTTATCCGACGGTTTGCGACGATTTGGTCCGTCGCAAACTGTCGCTCCGTCACAACATCAGCTAAAGTACTCCAAACAAGCTCAAAGTAAGATTATCGGAAAGTTCTCCTCGCGGAGAATTCAAATATATAATAAATTTTCCATTTTCTCGAATTTTTTGCCTTCTTCTCCGGGAAAAATGAAAATTGGGTTTTTCAGCACCTGGGGTGCTGCTTGCGGATAAGACAGCATCGTAAGTCCTCCACTTTGAATTAAAACTTCGTTTGATCATTTTGATGCATTTCATGATGTAATTTAAGCATTTCCAGCTAAAAGCAGCGGTGCAAAGCAAATCATCAGATTTTTAAACCCTTTGTTATTTCTTTCAGCCACGTATTTCGTATGACGACCGTATGATTGCTTGTGAGGAACCTTGCCATTTCATGAATTTGGAATTTCTTCAATTTCGCAGGATCAATTTTCATGGAGGTCAAAGAGTGAGTAACCAGCACCTGAGGTGCTTCGTCCAGATACAACATAACCTTAAACTCTCCACTCCAATGAAAAAGTTCATCCTGAGTTTTTAAAGACATTCGGAATAGGACACATGAAATCATGGTTATTTTGATATCCTTAATGACAGAATTCAAAAGGTTCCAGCTGAAAACAGTGGTTTTAATGATCAACTTTTCACAAATTCGCTAGTCCATTTCAGAAGTGCACTTTCTCGTTAAGGATTATTCTGCATTTACTTAAAGACTCTAAATATGTGATCTGATATTCTGATAATAGAAGGTGCAATTCGCGTCTGCAAATACTGCGATTTTCGCTTGTTCGCTTTTCGCTATTCGCTCTTCGCTCGTTCTACTAACAGAATATCAGATCACATAATCACATATTGGAAGAGTAAGTAAACTTCTGAAATGGACTAGCGAATTTTTGAAAAGTTGATCACTTAAGTCACTGTTTCCAGCTAAAACTTTTTGAATTCTACCATTAAGGATATCGAAATAACCATGACTTCATGTATCCTATTTCGAATGTTTTTAAAAACTCAGAATGAAGTTTTTTATTGAAATGGAGGGTTTAAGGTTATGTTATACCTGGACGAAGCACCTCAGGTGCGGTGCTGGACGCTCACTCTTTGACCTCCATGAAAATGATCCTGCAAAATTGAAGAAATTCAAAATTTATGACATGGTAAGGTTCCTCGCAGGCAATCATACGGTCGTCATACGAAATACGCGGCTGAAAGAAATAACAAGCGTCTAAAAATCTGGTAATTTTCTTTGCACCGCTGCCTTTAGCTGAAAGTGTTTAAATGACATCATGAAGGGCATCAAAATGATCGAACGAAGTTTTAATTCAAAGTGGAGGGCTTACGATGCTGTCATATCCGCAAGCAGCAACCCAGATTTAAGCTTGATTGGAGCACTTTAGCTGAAGTTATGACGGAACGACGGTTTGCAAGTAAGTAATCCGTCGCAAACCGTCGGTTAACCATGAATTAGTTGCAGTATTGTACGACCAACCTGAATAAATGGTCGGTGACTTCTTTGACTCCCAATTTTTCCAGTTTTGGAAGAAGTGAATCGTTGACCTGACCGACAGGAGGGCAATGTTCTAACTAAATATGGTTATCATATTGTTCATTAGCTTGCATTGTTTATTGAGTTATGAAATAAAACAGAAGAAGATTTCGACCATATCAAGGCTTTTCGATCAACCTAATAGTTTTCCGCTTGTTCATTGATTTACATACATACGTAAGCGCCTAGTCGTAACGATTTTGGTAGTGAGTTGCCAATGATGAGAGGCGCGGGGGCGAGAAAAAACTGATAAGTGCATCGCATAGTTATCATGAATGAACCATACGAGGAAAGTACCGAGGGACGCTAGGACCTAACATTAAACTTGTACACAGCGTGGTAGATGGAGTACGGCGGGCATGCAAGTCCCACAAGTCTACAATACCTCTCCGCACCGTGGCTGGGTTCGCTCCCGTCGGGACCCCGATGCGAGAATTGACGGAAAGGGATTTCGACCACGGCGGGACAGGTAAATTATGCGCCCAGAGATGCGCGCAGCAAACTGCGCGACGAAATTCGAATCTCTAGAGGCTTTCTGGATAAGAGACCGAAATCCAAGCATGAACAACAAAAACAAGTGCATCGACATAAGTGGTGACCTTTTTCCGTACATCCCTTTGTGTGAGCTTTGATAGTGGGAGCTGATATGTGTCATTCACGATTCTACTAAGAGATCGTGGTGGGCCGAGCGGTCTCGTTTGCTTTATCGCCTCTGAAGCTGAGTAACTGTTCGGTGTTGATGGAGCTGATGTGAGTGACTTTGTGGAATTCCTATCTAGTTGGAGGTTCATCTAAGTTGCAACTAGTTAAGAGCTGGTTTCCGACAAGCGTGATAGGTAGCACTCTAGAAGTTCGAAATGCTTTCAGGCCTCTGATAACGACGAATTGATTGAAACGTCAGGCGTAATAAATGTTCCACCATTAAAAAAACTGTTTGGCATAGAAAAATAGCTTAATCATGATGAACTACGTTTTTTGTTACACCTCTCATTGTTTGATATCGTATTATCCTGCCATATATAACCAGTCGGGTGGCCTGGACTACGCCGGGCTTCCCTCCTTCCTATGACCGCGAATGGTATTCAGAATGCGCCGATGCTTGCGCCTACAATTAGAAGTCTCGATCTCTTGCTGTTCATCTTGAAAATAATGACCCACTGCAGGTGCAACAGGTGGGATCCAAAGCTTTGAATGGTACTCACAAATGATGTCGATCATAGCAACACCACTATCAAATGTCTTTATCAATAAAACTTTCTTTTATCTGTTGATATATCATTAGATGGGAATCTAAGATTATTAGCGGCCGCTCGACTCGAATGATAAAAGAATGATATCGAAGCAAAGAGGATTCATGAATTACACTAACGGAGGAAAGTCTTCAAAGAAGCTTTTTTCCAGCTGTAACTTTCATCCTACTGCATGAAATTACATGAAATTTTAGCATGTCAATCAGAAACGTATTGTGAATATGTCCCGCTATTAGACCGCAGTTTGCTATTATTCACAGTACTTCAGTGAGGTTTGACTCACATTCAATCGAAAATAGCACTAAACTGACAAAACCGTTCTGCTCCGGAATAACAGTATGTCAAACATCACAAACGTCGATGTGTGGTATGAAAGTATCGGCTTGTGATGACAGCATCGCAAAGAGAATTCATCGAGTCGACAATTTTTGGATAGTGGACACATTCATGGCGGTGCACTCCTTCGCCAGCTAAGCAAAAATTTCTTCTTTGTTCCTACAAAGTTTGTTCGAACAAGTCCTCCTAAGCTTTCTTCATATGTGCTCTATAGGATTCTGATTCGCTGACTGGTTTTGCAACTCCAAAAGTCTGATTCGCTATTCGGTAAGGGCCGCCTTCACAACTATTGAGATGTGTTTCGGATCACTATCTTGTTGCAGGATCCCTCCTGCTCCCATGTGCTGCTGTGCCCACGGCGAGACGATGTCGGGCATCGTGTTTTTGCAGTAGTCTCCTATCATCGTGCCGCCAGTGTTCAAAATAGGGTCCCTTCCGTTTGAGGAGAAGGTGCTGTATAGCATCATATTTCCCCACCCCGCTTGGCTGTGGACAGGGTGCACCGTGGATTAAACCTTTCCTCAGATGGTCTTCGTCCGTGCCGTATACCATCTCTTCCAAACATTGTACTTGTTCTCGTCTGTTAACAGTCAGTCGAAGTGTCGAAGTTTAGTTGAGCTGACGGCAGCAAACCCTACTCTAGCTCTCCTTTTTCTGGACTGATGAAGGGTGATGAAGGGCCTCTCGGATGAAATATCAGCATTATTCAAGCGTCTTCCTACAGCCTGCAGACTGAAAATGACTCCATCGCTGGCGTTGAACTCAGCGGCAATGTCAGCCGCAGTGAGGTGAGGGTCAGCCCTCGACCATTTATAATCGGCTCTCTTGGGCTTATGAAGTGTATCGAGGTCTTCCCCTTCTTTCAGCATTACAAACTGAGTTTCTGACCAGATAGCATTGAATATCCGAAGAATCGTCTGCTGTGGGACCTTTAAGACTTTTGAAATAAGCGTGACTTTCATGCCCAATTCCTTCATGTATGCTGCTGCCTGCCAAAATTGCTGAGTGCTTTTGACCTTCTATGCATGCCTTAATCGTAAGTGTACAAGCACTAACGTCGAGCACAACCGAGATGCAGGACATGCGAAGATCGCGAATCTTTATTCAGAGAAAAATGCTTCAGTAGCGACTTCTCTGCACGTTTCAT